TTATGTGTACTCCTGGTTTACTTGTGTTTTTGTGTGAACTTTTGTGTATAAGGTTAGTTTAGGTTGTTGGGTACACTTAACACACTTAGTTGATTTTTGTATTAGTACACTAGTTTAGAACGGGTGAGTGCCATTTGTCTTGTATGGTTTTCAGTAGTCAGTGGAGGTTAGTCAGGGTGTTGAAGACAACGCAGACCGTGTGTTTTGGGTTTTCTTTTGTAGTCAGGTTAGCTTTCCCTCACTGTCCTAGCCAGCTCCATTTTGTTTGTTATTTTCTTTCCTTTGGCACCACTCTAGTTCCTTACCCTTGTTATCACGCTTCCTAGTCCCTCACCAAAACCCACCTGCTTCCAAAAGAATTAAATGTTACACCCCTTTACCCCTAGACACTTGGGATCGTAACATTGGCTAAATAAGATCGAATGAATTTCTTTTCCATTTCACTGATAACCAGTTATCTAATATAGGACACACCCAATCCTCACCTTATTTTTGTTTGTCATCCCTGTAGCAACATAAATGAGTCTAATACCATTAGGTAGAAATATCCTAAATTTAACCCTAAATTAAATACATTTAAATTATACTGTTAGAGTCATTTACTCATTATTTCACAAATTTCCAGCTTCATGAAACACAATTTTACTTATTGCTGCTTAATATAATCCTCATGATAATGTTCGACGGCAGATTGTCACAGCAGCAGAAGGTTTTTGAGGTGTGAATCACTGTGCTATGTTTTTACAGCAAGTTCAAATGTGTTCATGCCACAGTTAGGTATTAAATACCATACACAAGTCTCTGAAACTCAAAGGTGTTACAGCCATGCTGGGGTAGCAGTCAGCAGCACATACATTATCATCAATTAACGGAGAACTCAAAAGAGCTCACACAGCTGCCCAATCTGTGTCTGATGTTGTACATTGAGCCTATCTTCTTCTGAGCCCTAGTTTAAAAAACATAATGAGAAATAAACTTTCGATATATGGTCTGTTCAAGGTTAAATGAGCTGTCACAGTACAGCTACAGTGTCGCAGTACAGTGTTAGTATTTTCCAAGTTCTAACTAACTGGCCAGGGACTGCCATACATAAACATCTCCCATTGCTTTCCAGGCGCCTGGAAGATAGTGGTATTGTCCTTGAATGTCACATCATTAGCATCACTAAATCTGATATAGGCTCTGTGGCTAGTAGACTGAACACAAGACACTGTTTCAGAAAAGCCTGCACAGTGCTTCTCCCTTCTCTGCTGGTATGAGCATTGCAGCAGAAGGATTGAGTGGAGAGGCTGGCAGGCAGTCCTAAATCATGGAGCAGCCTGTGCCATGAAAAATATTGGTGATTTTAAAAAAAGAAAATAAAATCTTTATTTTTTAGATGATTTTTTTCTTTTTCAGGGACTAATTGATGAACTCTTAATAATATAGAAAATGTAAAAAGATTGAAATGTATAATAAAGTTGTTTCACGAATACATGTGAAAACTGTTGGAGAGCATGTAAACAGCAACCGTTTGCAGTTTTAGTCCTCTAAGGCTGGCATTTTTTTTGGTGTTCTGTTAGACAGTAAATTGGTTGCCGCTACCTTATATAAGGAATTCTAAACCAGAGCCAATAATTTTCACTGAGCAAAGAGATAGATATTGTAGATGCAGACAAAGAGATGTAATAAATATTTCTCAGACAGATGGACACTCATATCGGCAAGCTCAAATTTCCTTTTTTTGCCAGCCACAAAGATTCATATCAGGATGTTCTTTGTAAAATAATAGTTTACATCAATCTCACGGTGTTTGTTCAGTGTTAAATATGTCAAGAGACTGGGCTTTTGTTTATTCAAGTGAATTTCAAAAGCTGTGGTGGCTGGTTTATTACCTTGCATAATTATTCCAGTAAACCTTTAATAATACTTTTCCAACCTAGTTCTTTGCCTCACCAGAAATCACTAAAATGTTTCCCGGGGGAGAAAGGCGAGGTCACTAAAGATCCTTTGATGCACATTTGAGCTGGTTTCATTACATCCAACTATTTTCTAACCCCTTCTTACGATTCAGGGTCATGGGGGTGCAGAAGACTGTCCTGGCAGGTAATGGGTGTAAAACAGGATAGACCCCGGACGTGATGCCAGTCCATCACAGGGCGTACACACAGACACAAACACATACTTTCACAACTAGGGCCAATTTTCCCAGAAGCCAGTTAACCTACCAATAGTTTTTGGACTGTAGGAACAAACTGGAGCACCAGGAGGAAACCCACCCTAACATGAGGAAAACATACAAACTTCAGGCAGGTAGCTCCCCAGGTCTACAACTGATACTTTTACTGATAATTAAAACTTCAGATGCCTTCAGGTGTACAGATTGATATTACAAATTCTGATTTGTAATCAGTAGATATGGCAAAATGTACAGTATGTAGTACAGAATGAATATAAAAAGACCATAGAAAAAGTTTGTTCTTTCTCTAGCAACCACATTGGAAGGCAGGTGGATGATGTGGAGGAGGAAGAGAGCACGCAGCATCACTGATGCTGACTGAGATGACTACTAGAAGTACATCTTAAAATCCATTTCTTCCATTCATTAGATGTCCATTAATTAGAAGTTAATGTCAGTTATCCCTTGTGGTCTGTGTGGAATACCACAAGGATTAAAAAAGAGCCACCTGCCTATGACATTACATTGTTAGATAGACCATTGCAATATTTCATGGGCACATCCTTAACACAATACATGTGGAACCTCAGACAGGCAAATACATCTACATATGGGAGTCTGGCCTTGCACACTGTGTTGATGCAAAGGGTGATTCATCAGGCTGCTGTTACGAACAAAGGATGTCAGGAGAGAGAAGAAGAGCCATCAAAAGTGTATTCTGAGACTGAGAGACTGAGTGTACAGGGCTTCCTTCATGAGAATGTTAATTCCTCTATCCAGTTATTTAGTATTGTGTAAATGCACAGTATTCTCTTTTTATCCATCCATTTTCTTACCACTATAAACAATCGCAGGGGAGCTGGAACTTATAGCGGCAAGCAAAAGGCACAAGGTGGGGTACAATCTGGACAGGATGCTAGTCCATCACAGGGCACACACAAATGCACACATGCACACTCTCACAGCGGAGCCAATTCTCCCATAAGGCAATTAAACTACAAGTATGTTAATGGACTGTAAGAGGAAACCAGAGCACCTGGATGAAATCCACACAAACACCAAGAGTGCATACGATAGCACCCCAGGAATTGAACATACTGTAGGGCCCCAGGGCTGTGAGACAGCGATGCCAACCACAGTGCCACCAGTGCTGCCCAAGCTCTTTTCAGCTGATTAATACAAACAGATTGCCATTTGGGTATGTGCTGTTTCAGGGGTTTATCTGAAAGTCTCAGGTTTCCCCGGGCATGTTTAATACTGCAGGAATTGGATTGCTCTTACATTTACCTTTTAAAATGCTTTCTGCCTCGCTTTTGTCATATGAGGGCTTTGAACTCCTAACCCTGTTGCGAATCAGTATGCTTTTAACTGCTCCAGTCTCCCCTGCTCCATTGTAGACAACATAAGGAGTAAATCACAATGAACTAGGGAGACACTCAGCAGGGTCATTTTCAGTTCACTGACAGGATTATTCTCTTGCCAGCACAATCACCTGTGATATTTCAGATCTGATTTAGACATCCATTTCCCAAAAGGCCCATCTTCTGCTGCTGAACAATTTGAAAATCCCTCTACTCAGCCTCCGTTAAGATCCCGCACTTACTGTAGTATAAATGTACCTAGTAGATATTATAAAGGTAGAAAAATTACACTTGTTTTTCCAAAATGATGAAAACAATGCTAAAGCTGGCATAGAATAAACATTAATCTGGACATTAAATCTTAAAACTGACAATGATATTGTCACTGTACTGCATAATGGCTTTGTTTGTTTTTTTAGATTGACTCAACTCAAGTTATGGATTAAACAGTACACCTCAAAAGCCTTGATATTAGCAGAGTAATTTGAATTAGACCAGGGGAGAAGCTCTAATATTATCAGAAAAGCAAACACAGGAACGATTTTGGCAACAGGAACAGTTAAGTGAAGAACATTTAAAAAAATTGGTATCTCAGGGCTTTCAATATTGAAACCTGATTGTAAAGCGAGGCACAAACACATTAGTGTGTTTTCCTCAGCTCCAAACAGCAGTTGGAATGTCGAGTGAAAAGATTTTCTTTCTCACTGGAGCCAGTGAAAACTGAATCGTGTATGTTACAGCTCACATGTATATTCACCAAAGGATTAGAGAACAGCATGTTCCGTAGGAGTGATCCATTCTGTGCAAAGCAGTGGTCGGCCAGGCATTTCCCTCAGTACGCTGTGCTACAGGAAACGATGATACCAGTGACCTCGCAAGAAGCATAATTGGCGCACTGCATGTACCTCCTGCACCCCCCCTGATGGAAAATGCAGACCTATCTAATGTGCCAATTCTCCTTCAAGCACTTATGGGCACTGCTTTTTAAATAATGAAAAGAGGAAATGAAATGCAGCCTGCAAGAAGCTACTGAACAACTATTCACATCTCATTACGTACTGTGTCAGCTAGTGTGGTTATAGGTTCCATCAACTAGATGTAAACATCAACTGGGATCAAGCCACAATACCTAGCTGTTGTAAATACCACTGGAATATAAAAGGCAGAAAGACCATCTATTTGAAATGAACAGTGAATTAATTTCACTGCACAGCTTAGGCAGCATACTGCTGTAATTGTGGGAACAAGTGCCAGCCTTCTCTATGAACATCTGTGTCAGGCTGTACATGACAAACAAGGGCACTCTGTCACACATGGCTGTGTTAGTGTGCTCCGTATTGTGTTTTGTGTTGCATATTGCTGTGTTAGTTTCATGGATAGGCTTCGCAAAAGAAAGAAAAAAGTATTGTAGTGCTGTGCCCCCTAGTGTAAGCTGATGGATATGACAAAATTAATGGACCCCCTACTAAAACAGTAGCAAGTAAGCAAACAATTCACCTCTTTTATTTTTACTATTTTTGCTGATACATTTATTAAACACATGATTAAGGGAAGTTATGTAATACAATAAGTATTAGCAGCTTTTTTTTGCTCATTGTACATTCTTGATTATGTTGTTTTTTCTGATGATACTGTTAAACTAAACAATATGAATAAGCCTTTTGTTTTCCTTAGTCATTTGTTTAATGCTGTAAAAGGTGAAAAGCAATTTGTCCTTTAAAAATAAGTGTATTACTGTATCATAGCAGAATTGCAGAATTTAGAGAATAATATACATTTCCTAACAACAAGTCCTTTTCTTTTGCACAAATTTGCATTTTAAGGATTGTTTGACAAAATGGCGCTGCTTTTTTATTTTATTTCAAGGTCATCACCATTCCAATGCTGTTTTGGTAAAGACTCTTTGTTCTTTCTTTCCTCAAATCCCTTAGATTAATGGCTTGTCATACTGCCCTGTTTAATTCTACACCGTTGAGGCCACAGAAAGAAGGAAATGGGGCATGGCTTTAATTTTGATGCTGATGCACTTGAGGGATTCAGTAATAAAAGGTAGGTAGCTTGCTTATGAAGCAGCACAGATTCTGTAATCAGCACATGTTAAAGACTATAGCACCAATGAGATTCAGTGCCTGTGCTCTCATCATTTTATTGGCATTTAATGTCTACCAAATTTAGCTAAAATCCCCTCAATATATTCTATTAAGAGACACTGAAACCTTTCATGATCTTTAAAGTAATACTCACATAAAACCAGCACTTTCCACTGTTCTGCGGTTTGTCAATAACTTTATTAGTCATCCACTTTTCTTCTAGCTCAGCTCTGTTTGTGAATCACACTGGGATACAACAAGGAATCCAACAGAACTCTATGTAGGCAGGAGTGGACAATCATTACAGCAATTACTTTAGAGAAGGGGTGACCAGGGCTAGTCCTTGAATTCCTGTTTGGTGAAAGAAATAATTACTCAGTGAAACCAATTTGATATTTTTCGCATATGCACAGCTGTTGATTTAAAGGGATGTACTGTATGAAACCTGCTGGCACCACCACTCTTCAGGGAAGCGAACTGGATAGGCGTCATAGTCCTTATTGAAGCCCTGGTGGTATTGCAAAGTGAAGCTGAAGGTTTAAAATATTTCAAACACCAAAGTAAATGAAGACCTTTCATGAGATTCATGAGAAGAAGAGGCTCAGCATCAACAGAACCAGCAGAACTACATGGAGTCAGATCTGTCCAACGGAGCTTTGAGTCACACTTGCGGTGTTCCTAACATGACCAGTAGTATATATATAAGGGTGGTCCTGTAAATGAAAAGAGATTGATTATGTGAAAGGTGTTCACTGTGATGGATAAGCACAGACAAGAGCAAGATCATTCCAATTCAAAACCAGGTGTTTCTTCTTTATTTGGATCAGCATTATCCTACTTCATCTTCTAGTAATGAAGAGCATATAGTGATACAGTTATATTAAACTTCTGACTTTATTAAATAACCCTTTAACTATATGATTTTGTTGCAGGAACATTAGGCCATGTCTTTATCTCTAAAAAATTCCTAATAAGAGTTTTCATAATATACTAAAGAAATAAACTAACATTGCTGAAGGTTGGATAAATTTGCATCTATTGGAATTCTGTGTATACCCACGTTGGGTGGAAAAGTACTCAATCAAATTTTGAACAGTAATTTTAATTGAGAAGACAAAGACTCTTATTTTAAATTCTGTTGGACAGCGAAAGAGCAAACAACTGCTCTGTCCTTAATGGGAAGCCCATCCCTTGACAGGGAACACAGAAAAGAAACAAATCTAGTATAGCAATCCAAATCTAACCAACATGTAGGAAGGCTGAGGAAACCAGTATGTCTGGCAAAGCCCCACAAGAACATGTGAACATCTAAGACCCAGAATAAGGTGTGAGACCGCAGCTCTAACCAGTAAACTGTCATGCCAACTCAGATTGAAAATCATGTAAAACATGTAAAAATTAAACATTGTACAAAGTAAAATAACATTTTACGAAGTATGCAGACTTAAGATTTGTATGTGTTTTGTATGTAAGAAGAGAAAAGATCCAATGTAAATGCACTGTGATATGGAGTGTCAATGCTAGACCTCAGGTCTCACTCGGTTGCTGATTATTTAATGACAGGTTTTGTGGAGGAGCTGTGAAAGATCTCCCTTACCTCCGGTGGGCAAATGAGCTCTATTGGTTCTGAAAAGTTCTCAATTTCAAACTTCTCACCATCTGGCTGAAACTGCAAGGGAAGAACGGGGAACAAAATGACCTGCAGATATCAGTTGCAAATACTTTTAGATGAAATATCACAAATCATGTACGCGATTTCTGAATATTACATTTCGCATTATACTGTATATTATATATGGAAATTTTCATTTGCATTGATGTTGATGGCGCACTTATGACCTGATTAATGACTTAAATCAGTTCAACCCTCCTAGAAGCCTGGACCACATGCACAGCAACACTGGGCTCCTCACCATGTTGTTCCAAAGCCCCTTGGCCAGCTCCTCATGCCCCTTTATGCTGAAGTGGAAGCAGTCTGGTGCAAAGAAGGAGTAGTCAACTTTTCCACTCTATGAAATATCGAAAATAACACAGGCGTTGTTATGTGAGCCTGGAGGACTACATACCTGTGGATTTTGTATTCCAGCTGAGCCCTTGGGTACACAATTGGACCCTTAATTGACTTCATAAAAGGATTAATTCAAATTGTTTGATTGTTTTAACTACATTATAGGTTGTAGTTCAGGTGGGTAGCTGCGTCAGCATGCGTAGGTTGCAAAGGAACAAGTAATAGGTTTATCCCATGCTGAAAAAAAGAAGAAAGAGAACACAACGTTCCTTCTTCAGGTGACCTGAAGAAGGCTCCACGGCCGAAACGTTGTGTTCTCTTTCTTCTTTTTTTCAGCATGGGATAAACCTATTACTTGTTCCTTTACATTATAGGTTGCCTTCTAATTCTTGCATTTCATTCAGAAAAACATACCAAGCTTTTGAGTAAAAAACAAAAAAACTTGCAAATACCCCAATCAAGCAACTTGGTAATTCAATTAAGGTCTCAATTAGGTAATTAAACTCAACTGTAATGAGAACCCGCAGGTGTGTGTTCATCCAGAACCAAGACTGGGAACTTGTGCTGTAAGACATCTTAATAATGAAGGCCCTTGCCTTAAACGCATGAATAATTCACTGACTTAACCGTCAAATTAGTGAAAATTAAGAAACACATCATATTGCATAGTATATTCAAACTACAAATATAGCATTCTAGAGAAAGGATTTTTTTTTATTTAAACACTTTATTAGTTTAAATAAAGGATAAAGAACTAAAGGGAACTGATTTGTGACTCTGAAGTGTGCTTTACTTATCCCTGTCCCTGGAATTAACCCCTCCTATGGCAGAGAGCAGAACACAATGGAGCGATAGTGAACAGACCTCATCCTTTGGAGGCTTTGCTTTTTTCAGGTACGGCTGAAGAACCACAGAAAAATCATCCTTATTGTACCGGCCACTTCCTATTAGTTGCTCCATTCTTCTCTAGTGAAGGAAAAAATAAAAATCAATGTGCATTCATACTGACATAGATAAATAGATTCAGTTCTGTTATTGTTTTCATTTGTTTCCATCTTATGAAAGTCTGCATGGGTTTGAGCAGCTACACCGCACAAATAGAAACCAGCATTTTCAGCATTTTCATGGAGTACTGACTATAAAAAAACAGTACATTGTTTTTTTTTCTGTACATGTTCCCTTTTCCACAGCCCTCACCAGAATAAGTGGACTGTAGATGGATGCATTTATGATAACATTTTCTAACATTATGATCACAGAGACATCAGAATCCATGAAACAGCAATAAATGAGATACTTAATCATAAAAACGTTAAAAGGTTACAAAGCATGAGAAGCCATAAGGCCAATCTGGTCCTTTTGCATTACAGAAGCGAATTGACCAAGGATCTTATCTAACCCTTTGTGGAAAGAAGCCACACCTCAAAAATATGTTTGGATAGGTTTCTGACACAAGACTTTCTGTTCAAAAAGTGACTCCTGTTCTCAATTTGTAACGCAGTTCTGTAGAGTTTCTGCATAAATTATGTCCTCTGCTTTGTGTTTGAATGTCAATTTCCACTTAATGTATCTACTGTAGTAGTTATTCTTTGAAATGAAAATAAAATATCAGCAATATTTTTGCCTTTAATTACTCCCCCATATAGTCTAGATGTAACTGATTTTTACATTCTCTAGATGTTACTTTCATGAGAAACTTCTTTGGGCTCTGTGTTTTCCATGCATAGTTTATGTTCATGTTTACTGCATATAGTGCAACACTCAGCACTTCTCTGCATTAGGTCTGTGATAGAAAATAAAAGGAGTATAAAAACGTGAGTAGGAATAAGATTAGAAATCTGTGAAGTGTGACAATGACAGGGGTTGAGGAAATACAGTATGATGTGTGACAGTATCGTGCACAAGCTGAACATCCTTCATCATGTTATTATCCTGCCTTGTTTTCTCCAAGACAATGGGGTATGAATGATAAAATGTCAATGATAAAATGTCTTTTATCATAATGCCTGTCTTTCCTTGTTCAGCCATGTTGAAATATTTGTCCTTGGTAAATAAAACTGGTACCCAGGGACACATTCAAGTCTGATCAGCATCTGATGCATCGGTATTCTGGAAAAAAGACCAAATGCAGAGCTTCTTTTATATTGGCCGCTGGTATACAAAGCTAAGCATTACTTCTCTCAAGCTTTACTGGAGCTAGTTATTAGGTTTTCAGTTAATAAAAAGTATCTGATTTCTGTTACCACACCCTTCTGATCTGATATGATTTATCCAAAACAATTCAGGTTTTATTCATGTTTATTATTCACGATGCCTACACCTCTGTAACAGATCCATAGTCCACTGGTGACAGAAACTGACATCTTTCTGCAGTAAAGCCAACCTGTCTAGTGCCTGGACCTGATTAAGAACATAGTTCAGCTCAACACTCAAACGGCATCTCCAGTTCTTCTTCAATTTTTCCTTCATCTGGCCTTTCAAGCTCTTATTCTGGCATCGTTATATCCTTAATACCCTATGCACTGTAGCTGCTCCCTGAAGGTTACTGAAAGACCCCTGTAAGCACAGTTCTATAATTCAATTGGTTTCACTCAGTTATAAAAGGCCATTGTTTTAGCTGAGTTCAATGAGTGTAACTGATCCTAACATCCCAACATTACTGCGAGATGATGATATATATGACATAATTTGTATTGAGGAAGTTGTCTGGCCTTTTTTGCTCTAGTATGAGGCTGCCAACCACATGATGATGGTATTTTGTTCACTTACTTTTCTGTGATAATGACAAGATATATAGGGTTCAACAAACAAGAGTGATGACAAGGGTCATTACACAGTATGTACTGATTAGATAATGAACACTGAGTTCATGAATTTCTAAAATTGTAAAGGTAATGATGCCTGAAATAAACTGGAGGCAACCTGCAGATTTCTCTGAAGAGAATGGATATGCATATCCAAATCACAGTAATTCAGCTGGGGTAAGCAATGATAACAGCCAAACTCAGATAATAAAGACAACAACAGAACTAAACCTTATCAGGATCCATATTCATTTCTTGCCTGCAAAATGTCCATCTTGAGACCAAGAAGTGACCAATTATTTATTAACTTTCCTAGTAAGGTGAGACAACATAAAATAAAGTTTAAATGATTAAAAATATGGTTTCCAGGGTGCAGTCATAGATTTTTATCTATATCACATGCCAATGTGACCAGATGGTAATCTAATGTGTTATCTGTGAACACGGAAATGAACAGTATCAGGAACACTAGAATCAGCTGATCTCAAGATGCATATTCACTTTGACCTTGATCTTTTCTTACGCTGTTTATATGAACTGACATTCTAGTCCATAGTTCTAGTTTACATTGTCTAGATGTTACTTTCATGAGAAACTTCTTCAGGCTCAGTGTTTTCCACGCATAGTGTATGTTTTTGTTTACTGCATATAGGGCAACACTCTGCACTTCTCTGCATTAGGTCTGATAGAGAGAATAAAAGGAGCATAAAAACGTGGGTAGGAATAAGTTTAGAAATCGGTGAAGTGTGACAATGACGGGTCTTCAAGCTCATCATGCTAGAGTCAGTCCCAGTTCCTGTAGCATTACATAGGCTAGTACAAGAGGCTGCCCTGAAGGGGATACTAGTACTGTACATTACGCAGTGCTCCCACCAAAGCTGGTGCTCATTCATACAGTTAAGTAGACATGGGAAAAAGGAACTTGCTCCAGTGTCCATGGGAGGGCCAATCCAATGTTATATCCATTTTCCAATTACTCTTAAAAGCACTACTTTACACTGTCCCCAGTTCCCTTCCTAATGTATTGTACCTGGAATTCGTGATTTAGTTCAATGAGCTCCTCCAGCTCAGGAGAACCTGTATCTGGCCTCACCAGGCAGGAACAGAAAGATCTGCAGAAAGAAAATAATGCTTGAAACAAAATAAAAAAGCTACAATGAAACACCCAGAACACAGTTTTAGGTTTGATAAAAGCTTAAATGTATCTGTGTGATATGTATAATTTGTATTATGGGAACATGTCATAAGTGCTAGTATATGGTAGATGATGATTAAATAAATTCACATGCCTGTTTTATATGTCTTTTATTTTTATATATAATTATGTGAAGACTTCTGTGCTGAAAGATCTTAAGGATCTATAATTTCATCTTCATAATGTACTGAAGATGACTGCTCACTCATATACTAAGTTGCAAGACTTGAAAAATTACTTTGAAACATCAAAGATTAAAACATCACTGAAAACTGGCATGAGATATTGGAGAGAGAGCAAGTGTTGAATAGAAATTAAATGGAAACATTTTTAATATTGAGTAATTGATTTGCTGATCTATCATTAGTACTAGTTAAATTATTAATTCAAAATAGAAGGGTTCATTATTGTACAGTATATACTGGATATTTGCAATATTTATGGAATCCTGTAAGCCGTAATTCAATAAAAAAGTATAAAACATTTGAATATAAAAAATGGATTATACACTGCAAAAAAAATATGGTTGTACTTTAACAAATATGTACTAATAAATACTAGTGCTTCTAATAAAAATAGTGCAATCATTCTTAGAAAACAATATTATCTTCATTATATAATGTACTACATATTACCTGAACATGACAGGATGGCTGTCAGGGACCTTAGCACATGAATGCATGCTGACACAAGATGCAATACCATGATAAACTTTATTGTGTGGATTCAAACGCAAAAATGTACAGAAACAACACTAGACTCCATCAACGGTCTAACTACCCTGTCTACCCTGGGGACATCTTATTACATTCACTACTGTACATCGCAACTATCCAACCTCAACAAAGTCGTGAAGGGCTGTGGGTGCTACCACCATTGTACTGTAGATGTGCTCACACTTGTCCACTTGACTTAACCTAACCAACACCTGGTTACAGGTGCTCATAACCTGGGATCGCACTACAGATTTTTTGCCAGTGGGTATAATAGCAGTCTCCAATGGCTAGCCCCTTGTACTGTCATCCCTGAGTCCAGCCAACTAGAGGCATCCTTTACAGTTTTGTTTGATACTGAAGACCCTCTAAAAACCTGTGTGCTCTGCTTCATTAAACTGAAATTTACCTCTGAAGCAAACATCCAATGCTCCCATCATTCACTTCCCGGAGGCCCTCCATGTCCAGGACCTCAACTAAATTCACGATCATCCTGGGTATCTGAGAGGAAACAGAGTGCCAGAGACTCCATAAAAAATTAAATATTAAAAAACATTTAAAAATTAGATATCTTAAGATGTCTAAAACCTGACAGGGTTTCACTTTGATATGATTATCACATACTGTAGGAGTCATACTGATGGGCAGGAAAGAAAATAACATTTCCCAGGATATTGCATTTATCCATTTTAAGAGCGGCTGTCCCTTTAACATGGAGGAAGTTAAAAAGGAGATGTGTGTTTCAGGGGTGTAGCCAGAGGGGTGGAATTTGGCTCCCCAGCTGCCACCCTCTTTATGACATTACCAAACATCCCATATAGTCTTACGTTTACCAACAAAAGAAAACAATTACAATGTCTCTTAAATTTTTTAAAAGAATACAGTACATGTAGCCTATATTGTACATGCTTGGTGTCAGCAAATATGCAGCAGATCATTACAGATTGTTCCCATGCAGCTAAGTTGCGAGATTTTGGCTTTGGCTTGCGTTGCAGTTCAGTCTTGCCAGCAGTGTAAAACAGGGGTTACCAGTAAAACTGGAGTAGAACACCTTTTAGTAATACATTATTAGTATTAGTTATATTTTAGAAGGGAAATAATGTCATTTAAAAATGCCATCAGCATAGCTGTTCCTGCCACCTCTCTGCCATCACAAATACAAAAATGTGGGCTACACCACTGATGCGTTTTAATTCTTCTTTTTTCTATGCAAACCTTTTTACCGAGGAACCTGCACCTCAAAAAAAAAAAACCTGAAATTGTTGAGTTTGCTATGTACTGGGAGTCTTATTCAGTCTCAGTCCCCATAATGGACTCAGGATCTATTTCTGTTCATTCTTCCACTGTGTGCTATTTTATACATGTTTACATGCTGCAACAAATCAGATGAGGTTATGTTACTAACTGGAAACTTGAACGGTCTGAAGTTCAAACTCTAACATTACTGGTGCCATGAATAGTTCAACTGAACAATAACAATAACAGTGATAACGCCTTACTGTACCTCATTATACAGCATATCCAAGGCAACAGTCAAGTTATGAATGAAACTGTCCGCTGAATAAAGGGTCTGGAGAAGCAAAAAGAAAAAGTTCTCAGTGGTAAAACGCCTTTTAAAGAAAAACAGTCAATTGATACTGGTTTACAATGTTTTTTTAAATGTAGGTAATTCTTGTTTGTTCTGGGAAACTTTGCTAGTGTTTATAAGCTGAATGATTCAATTTGTTGCTAACATTGGAGAAGAAACATTAATCATAGTAATATAGCATAATTCAGATTCTGGAAAACTCTTTGGAACAAGAGTCTACCTATAAATCCCACAAATATGTTACCACCAATCTGGAAAGTGCTATACTCTTTTGATCATATAAATACCCAAAAAAAGATTCCCAATAGTGAAATTAATTCATCCTGTCTTGCAAAGAGATGTGTGTTCTGTCATAAGGTTAAGCACTTGATTAATTGAGGTATCAGATCGACACTTTCAATTAGATTTTGTTTTTTATTTTAAGTGAGAGAAGTGATTTGGGAATGTCTGAAGCATGAATCAATGGCTCAGACATCTTTAAATAAGCAATGTACCTGCCTTACCGCATGACCAAAACAATATTGAAAATAATTGCATATACAGCATACGAATAAGAATAAAGTTCGCATGAAATCTCTATATCAGTAGGTGATTGAGATTCAACTACTTCTGTGTTTTGTGGTTTTTGTTTTTGGCTGCTTATCTACAGTATATATGTAATGTGTATGGTCATATAATTCTCTAGAAAATAAAGAACAAATTAAATCCTTCTTAAAGTAAATCCAAGAGGAGATTTTATTCATCCATTTCCATCAACCACTTTATTCTTATAGGGTTGCAGTGAGACAGAGCCTAACCTGTCAATACTAATGTAGGTCCTGGATGAGACACCAGTCCATCAGGGTTCACACACATATAAAAGGGATCATTTGGAGATACCAGTTAAGCTGGACAGTAGGTTTTCTTAACTGTGAGAGGAAACCATTGCAGCTGGAGAAAAGTCTAAGGAGACACTGGGAGACAATGCAGCCACTTCACCCACATGAGATTTCAACACACCAGAAACGGTCGCTCAGCACAAGGAAAAACGATATTTACAACAGACTGAGCCAGGCCTACCTTATTTTTACAGTAGTCGCAGATATCATTATTTCCAATAAGAATGGTCAGTAGCTTCCAGTCTTCTTCAAAACTGAGTCCCTAAACAAATAAATCGTGTATTTTATGCTGCATGTTGTTGCCCAATTGCCCAACACTCAAGAAATCACCATTCATCTTCTATGGTAACTGCTTTAGATGCCACAAGGTGCACGAGGCCCAAATGTGTTTGTGTCTGATCTATTTTGTGCAAGGCATTTGTTACAGGTGTTTGATCTCCATATCAGTACTGTTTGTTTTGGTATGAAATGGCTCAATGTATGTATTTTAGAGAAACATATGCAAAATCTTCAATCCACTCAAAACCTAGGAAAGTAAAATTGCAGTTTGACAGTAGCTACATTATATTTCTTTGATGTATGCATATATTCCTGTGGCATATTTTCGTAAGGCACAGTTTGATAAGAACAGACACCTACAGTGTTATTACAAAATATGTTGTTAAGTCAGAGCTCACTTGCTATTCTTCAAAAAGAGTGACAGATTTGACAGTTTTTAAAAAAATGCAATTTTGGGAAATGCAAGCCTGTCATTTCATTTTATTAAAAGAGTGATGATCAAATACAGAATGTTACAGTTTTTGTACAGCATGTATTATTCCTCTACATGAAGAGAAAGGTACTGTATTAATCAATATTAAACCCATTGAACTGAGTATATTTGTACACAACAATCTTGAAGGAGCAACATGAGAGACAATTGTTCAAGTTCCACCAGACAGCTCAATTACGAGCACTGGGAAGGACCATGCACATGGGAAAGTGGTGTAGCTCAGGAAGCTACTGGGTTTTTTTCAGTCATGTTAATGTTGAATTAACCAAGGACAAAGTACATATTACTTACCGGGTAGTTTTTCAAAGTATCAATCAGGTGCCTAGTCTGTTGTGTAAATTCACTAGAAAAAGAATAATTATCATCATGAATATGTTAATTGCTAGGGAGATCTTCACCTTGAGTCATCGACCATTAATTAACTGCTACAGGTATAATTAAATTGTTTAAACTGTGCGCATCTTCATAATTTGCAAAAGCACTGCGTTGATTAATTAAAAATGGAACAGTGAAGAGCTTAGTCATATCTGTTCTGCCTTTCATTCTTGCTCGTTTTTGTAAATCCCAGTCTGTACTAATGCATTTTACATTAATGAAGTGCAATATATCAGATTTACCACAGGATTTTACATTTATCAGTGGAAATTGTCCTGTTAATTTTAGTTAAAAATAAAGAGTCTTCTGGCCTTGGTAAAAGAGCCTTGAAAAGGCTAATAAGTTCAGAGCAGCAACTGATTAAAGGCTGTTTGTGGCCATTACATAGCAATTTTATATCACGACATGTCATAAAACCTGTTAATAGCACCATCCACATGGTCCATTTCTTTAGAACAGTTGTTATATAATACTTATAATACATGCTTATCAGATACAAAGTCATTGAATCCCAGTATGTAATTGGCTAATTAACTTTGACTCTTGAGGAACAAACATTAATCTATATGTTCTGTGTCAACGACTTCTGATGGAAGACAGATAGAAATGAAGTTCTGGAACACTCAAGTCAGAAAAGTCTGATGCTTTTTTCATACAGTCATCGGAGTCAGCAGCAATCTCCCTAGCCCCCCTTGTATCTTTTTCTAATGGCTTTAAATAGCTTGGCTTGAATCCGCATTCATTGAACTATGAGAAATAAAACCAATCTGTCAATCATCTTTATGAGCAAGGCAGGGTGAATGGTCGCCAAGGAAACCTGAATACAAACAACAGATTTTCATCTCAGCACACAGGGTGGGCACTCGGCCTTGGCTCCAAGTCCCAGATTAGCCACCCTTGCACCCTTGTCTGCTATACGCTCGCTTACTATGTGTTGTGTCCTGTGACTGCCAGGTTGAACCCCGTTTCCTTCAGTGTGGCAGGCTTTCCATTCACAGTCCTTTTAAGGGCTGGTGCAATGACATTGGGGTTGAAGAGTTTGACAATGTCTGCAAAAGTACAATATACAGACAGATTACAAGTCACATACAGTGGGTGGAGATAAGGAAGGCTATTCAGAAACCTCTGTTTAGATTTGACTTTTTTTTTTAGTGCAACCAAAGCCAACATCTCCATTTTACAATCGAATGTACGCCCAGGGAAAATTACAATAAAAGCTCTTTGGAGAGAAGTGACAAGACTGAACTTCATCACAGCATGTTTCTGCAGTAATACACTTGTTTGGGACTGTTAAGACAACAGGGAAGCTACAAAAAAAAAGTTTTTAAAATTGTATTATATTCATTTTGCATAACAGAAAAAAATTTTTGCTTTAAATGTTGAGAGGAATAAAACAAATGAGCTTACTTGCCAGGGTGATGACATCTTGGTAAGTCCCATATCCCCCAATACTAAAAGACAACAAATGAACAGTAAGTGCACAAGTCTGAAAAGACATTTCCCCAAAAGTGTTTTAATTGTGATGCAGATAAGCTGTGCACTATTTTTGAAGATAATGCCACTTTTTATCTATGAAGAAAAAATGAACTCCATAACAATAAGGACCAACTACATCCTCAAAGATAGCATACTTTATCAACTGTGAAGTGTGCTGTTTTTCTGGCTTGTTTTCACATTATATATTTTTGTTTAGCATACGTCATTGCATTTCACCTTAATTGTACTGGCCATAATGTCATTTATTCTTTTGCTTTTATTGGAATCAGTAAGTAGTTACACTTAACAGAAATTTTGCATTTACATTACACTTTGCTCCATATAAAGGTGTCTGCCAACCAAATACTGTAAATAATAATTGACTGCAGAAGAGGTAAAATGCAGCAACCTAATTCACAAAATGGCAGTCAGGATTCTACTGCATAGGGCGCAACATTTTGTAACTAAAATAAAAAGGCAATGTTCAAAACAAAATGAAATCTTGAACCAAGAGCCTATTATAAGCTTTTAAAAACACACATACTAAGAGAAAAACTGAAGTGCCACAATTTTAGGTGTTGGTTATTAGAAGATAAAAAGTATTTGTCAATTAAAGCCTTGATACCTCCATGAAACTTGCCGATATTCGTTTGGTATTCCTAGGATACTTGATGCATTTGCACCTATTGCAGTCTAAAAAGAACAACAAATTAGAATAATGAAAACAAAAAAATCTGCATTACAACATCTTTACAATAGATTAAAGAAAGAAGAAAATATTTGGTTTTACTTTCTAGCACAGAATGAACCTTTACTTCTTTGCAGCTGGAACACTGACACAGATTCCTTCTCTATTTCACCTTATTATTCTATTAATATTCATTAAGCAAATGGCACAATTTAATTTGATTTTTAGAATATATGTCAAGGAATACAGGGGTAGAAAAATGGGGGGTGATTTGCAACATTCCTTTATCTTGAAAAACCAAAGATGAGGTGAAAAGGGTATTTTTATAAGTGAGGAAAAAAAATGTAAACCTCCGAGACTGAAAGTTTCTCAGATTTAATGCAATGTCCAAAAAAGACACCTGTTTCCCTATTTTTGGCATTACAAATGAAAACTGAACTCACTGTCAGTGAATCCCCCAGAGCAGCAATAACTTTGATGTCTGCTGGCTTCACACGCTGAACTGCAACAAATCACAAATTCTTCCGATGAGTAGTGTTAGTGAGCAAATTAAAATGCATTGAATTCAAAAGGCTATCAGAGATTGCTTTTTCATGGTTCATTTTTTATTCTCTGTGTTACATGAAATATATTTGAAAAGCCTTTCAACTGATAAAGTGATTTATGTTTTAAACGTTTTGTGTATCCATTTTAATTTAAGTAGGACAAACAAAACTTGAAAGACCTTTTATGATTCAGTCTAGTAACTCAGTAATACATTTGACTAGGCATCATTTATAACTGTGCTCGGAGGAAAACGGGAGTGAAATAGAGGAGTTGATTATAACCAAATAAAAACGGGTTTAGGACTTCCTTCCAAACATTTTCTAACTGCTTCTTCCCAATCCGGGCAGCGGGGGAGCTGGACACCCTGGACGGGACACACATCAGGATACTGGGCAGGTCCGTCACAGATGTGTGCACTCTAGCCAATGAACCTACCTGTATGTCTATGCACTGTAGGAAGAAACCCCCTCAAACACGGGGAGAACATTCAAACCCTACACAGATAGCACCTCAGTAACTGAACCCAGGGCCCCAACTCTGCAAGGCAGCAATGCTAACACTGTGCCTCCCCTAGTTCAGAAACAGATTAGCCTTTGGATGTCTATGAGGATTACACATTAAACTAATATGCCCAGGTATGCGTGTGTTCCACTGTACAAGCTTATTGCATGTCCATCCACAGTTTATAATGGCCTTACTGCTCTGAAATTTAAATGAAAAACTATTACCATTTTTAGAAAGGTGGTTCTGATATGTTAAGCATTACTCTCTTTTGAATCACTTGACTAATGTTAAAGCAAGCTTAGAAGCCAAATCACTGCCATGCCAGTGTTAATCTTTGCACGAAAGATGAAAACAACATTTGCGCATTTCATTTCTCTTACCAGAGGTGGGAACGCTCGATGAGGGGCTCATGTCTGGACACCGGAAAAGGGGATGCTTATAATTCTGGGGCCTTATTTTCTCTGGAAACTCCTGAGTCAGAGACCACAAAGGACAAGAAAGACTGAATCAAACATCAAAAAAGCTTGCAACCAAGAGTATTATTCCAAATATATTAGAAGTAAACAATCGTTTTAAAATCTGTTACATAGGTTTTACCTATTGCACATAAATTACATGACAGTGTCATTTATCAATGCCTAATCTAGAAAAATACTTTCAATACAGTTTCATCAGGTATGGGAATTATCAGAACAAAACATCCTTTTCTATTTATCAAACTTTTTATGAAGTAAAATCTATTATTAAAGGAAATGTTTTTTCACTTTGAAAGGATGTTGTAATTTAGCAAACAGTAAAATGAGACTACAGTGCAGAGAAAAGGTTTCTGTAGCCCCTATTAGAACTTTGGTAATTAATTAAGAGTACAGGCAGTCCGTGTAGGAAGTCATCTGAACATTTTGATCACTAATTGTAAATGCATGAAATAGTGTGTGGAAAAAAAATTGATCCTGAAGCAGTGAATTAATTTGCTGGTTTCAAAGTGATCACAATTTGAAAGAAATTGGGGGTGATATTTATCCATTTGTATTTTGTATCTATTTGCATTTGCTTTTATTGTTTTTATGGGTTATAAGTAAATTAAATGTATATACCTGTATATTGGGAATGTACCTCAAACTAATTACATTAATCCTTATGGATATTTTTTCCCTTTTCTAAGTGTTTTCACTATAAATTGTATTATTTAAGAACATAACCTGGTCTTTTAACAATACTCTGTACCCAATTTAGTTAGCTACAAGTGAAATACGCAATCTAATTTATAGTACCTAATTTTTATGGGAGTTGCATAAAAGTTGCATGGGGCAAAGTGTGTGCTCTTATGGTACCAAGCCCTGCATATTTACATTGTTCTTTATGTTTTTTCAATATTCCTCACAACTTTCTGGTCCCTAAACTGGAGTTGATGCTGTTGATGTCCGGGGAGGATTACAAAATAATTTCTAAACATGTGGAGATCTATCCACCTGCTATCAGTCTACAGATAGAAAATACTCAAGACCATGGTGACGCTACCCAGGACCACTTGCCCTGTCAAGATCCCCTCAAGAGCAACTCAGAAAGTCTTCCAGTTACAAAAAAAAAACTCCAGAGTAACATCTAATGATCTGCAGGCCTCTCTAGCTACAGCTAATGTCACTGTTCATGCTTCAGTCGTCAGGAAAAGAATGTTTGCATGTGAGCATAACCAACAAAGACTAAACCATTGTGTAAAAGGAACACTGCCACTCATCTCAGGTTTACCAAAGAGCACCTGGACAATCCTGAGAAGTAGTAGAAGTTTCTCTGGAACGACAGGTCTGGAGTTCTTCTTAGCACTGAAACTCCCTTACAGATTAAGTCTGTGTACCTGAGCTAGAGACTCCTCGCTGTACCCTTTCAGGCCATCCTCATACTTCTTCATCCAGTTGCTCCCTTGGAGAAATGAGATGCATTCTTAAAATTTACATTTAGACCCATTCAACTCACCCCCAGCCATTCAATGCAATTCTTTATCAGATCAAATCACTTTATTAGCCATATGCAATTCCTTGCATTAGGAATTTGTCTTTTCACATACCCCAGCTTGCTCTCCATGAGACACACAGACAGGAAGAGAAGCTTGGGGTCAGAGCACAGGGCCAGCCATTGTACAGCACCCCTGGAGCAGTTGGGGTGAAGGGCCTTGCTCAGGGGCCCAACAGAGTAGGATTCCTCTGCCAGCCACAGGATTTGAACTGGCAACCTTCCAGCCACAGGCGCAGATCCTTAGCCACAGTGCCACCAGTGGAGACGGATACAAGCTGTTATCCACAATGCACTTTTCAGTTTGGATTTTGAAGGACGTGTCTGGTGCTAGATATTTCAACAAATCCATCTAGGTCAGTCATCTCCAACACCTGCTCCAACACCACAGTACATATTCCCTGTTCCCATTCTTTGAACCCCTCGTCAGAAGGTCTGCATTCCTGTCTAGCTATTGGTCGCTTAAGTGAGCTTTCAAACTGAATTAAAAAATTGTTACATTTAAACCTGGCCAAGGGTTTAATCTATTGGAAAGTATGATAATCTATGTTGCTTATTAAAATTAATAAGCAGAGAGCCCACAATAATCAAAATATTAGGTCCATCATGTAACTGGGAGCTCAGCTGGTGAAATATCTAGCAGGGCTGGAGGTCATGAGTCTGAAGCCCTTATAGGGAAATTAAAAACACAACAGCTTAACACCAGGAAATAAGTCAAATCAGTCACTGACTCAGTAAAATTCTAAGAAGCTCAGATGGGATGAAAAATATAAGTCATTCCATCCAAAGCCAGCATCGTCCTCACAGAGTGATTGCATCACAATAATAACACTCAGTTGCCAAACACCACCGTTCTTAAAAAGGGTGAACGGCTGAAAAGACAGCCTTTATTTTTCACGTTATAAGGCATAATTACCATATAGTGGTTAGAAATTAACGCCTTGTCAAAGAGCCAAGCACAAAAAAACAATTCAGAAACAGAAATGTTTTCTCTAATTCGACATTCGAAGTTAAATTAATTTTGTGACCCCAACGTATAAGAATTAACATTTCACAAATCATCGTATTTCTCTTTATAATTTTGTTCATTTTTTATGTTTGATGTACAGCAGTGAATTAAGATCTTAAAAGTTCAAAATCGAGTTTAATTATTAGTGATGATACAGTAATTACTTCTCAGGAAACATCTGCCATGTCTGACTTTGTACTTTAAGAGCAGGTACGAATTGTGAAGAATCAGTCTCCAGTAAAACCATGCTGTTGTTATCATTTTGTTCAGCTGCTTTCATAGCTCATACCTTGAACGGAGGACGAACACACAACACATACAGCCAGGAGAAGAGAGAGGTGCCTCATGGTCGACACTGCAAACAAGGAAGGCTACTGCTTGGGTCTGCAGACTAGCTCTGTGACAGAGCCGCAGGCTTTATACTGTGACAACAACACCTTATCTCTTTTTTCTTGATAACTACGTGACAGAAGTTCATATGGCTTATTAAGAATGGGTCGGCCTTTGCAGGGATAAAAGAAGTAAAGCAAAGATCAACTTCATTATCAAAGCTTTTTTAAAAGCAGTCCATCGATCGACCACACGTGTCATGCTGAAATGCAAATTAAGAAAATGACAGGGGGCAGTAAGTTGATTCAATATTACCAACTATAAATACCGTATATCTTACAAAAAATTACATCTTAAGGCAAAGGTAGTATAATAGCAAATATAAAACATGATGTAAACAGAATGAGAACCTTATTTCACAAGGTAAAAGCAATATACCCTAAAAGTTATAAGCTAGCTTTCAGTCCTTTCAGTGAGTGGGGAGCTGGCACTGACTCAGTTCACTGACCAAAGTGATTTTTGGGAAGGGCAAAGATTAATCTTTGGATGGTAATAATGCAAAACCCAAACCAATTGAGGCAACTGGATATGTCATATGGCAGACCTTTTAAAATAGGGACTCTGCAGCACAGTTCCGCAGTCCAGTGTGCAAGGGCATCATGTGGGTTTTCTAGCTTTCCCTTAAACAGCACAAGAGCTCAAAAAATATTTCAGGTAAATCAGCTGAGCCTTAATTAGATCAATTCAACTATTCTGGACAGGTACCTTTGTGAAGCTTTGGGAACCCTGTGCTAAACAGAGATAGCTCATTTCACTCCAACAGCAAAGTAATGCCACACTGAAATCTCCAACTGGTTTTGTGCTCCTCTCAGTCCTGGACTGACTTGATGTTAAATTGGTATTCTTATCTTCATAGGTATTGCTGCTGCAGTGAAAATTACAGTCTGGGGGGACGCTGCCAATCAAGGCCGAGGGAATGGGTGTGCACCTTGTCTATCACGAGAGGGGCACGTGGTGCGACAGCCTTGTTTCTTCAGCAGACCCAGGACACTGACTGTTGTAGCAGTCTGCCTGCATGATAATTTAGGCTGAATCAGCTCATATTAATAGTAAATGTAGACCAATTCAAGTAAGCAGATATTTCGCCGACAGCTACTACCAAAGACCACAGTGTGTAATTCTACATTAGATATCCAGAAGCTGGAAGGGAAGAGTCAATGGTTATGTGCTTGCATCCAAGCACTGTCAGGACAACAAAAAAAGTATTTGGTAGAAATCGGACCCTTCTGACAGAAATTCCCAAAACAAGTAGCAAAAAATAAAAGAGAAGAGAGAGACAGGTCCAGTGTATAAGGGACTTGTTTATACTGAATCCAGTCACAGATACTGTCTGATAAATAGAATTTATATAAGGGATCGATATAGTGAAAGTTTGAAAGGTACCAGGTTATTTGCAAAAAAACAGTGCAAATACATGAATGTATTAATGAAATTAGATAAATTGTTTTTATTAATTGGAGTAGAAGATGGAACAGAACAGAACCAAAACCATTTTATAGAGTTTAGAAAACAAATTGGCATTGATGAGTACATTTCAAACCAAAATGAAAGTAAAACATACACAGTAAATGTGTTAAACCTCCTATTTACAAAATAGGTGAAAATCCCAGGTATGCTCAGCGCCATGGTCTGTGATTCAGAAAGAGGTAGCAAAACCTCCGGTGACATGTGTGGCCATTAGACACCACAAAGAAGTATGCTTGTGAATACATCATCTCTTTTAATCCAATAGAAATATTGCTTTCCATTCGGAGACTGTTTTGGTGACGAATATTAGTTATTTGTTAACTGCATGCAGATCACCTTGGAACATTTATGTGGTGAATGGTCTGCTGCACAACCTGTACTTATTTGCTCATACATCACATTACATCAGAGAGCAGGAAGGGCCGCATCATGTCACAATTCGTGGGAAATCTTGCTCTCGCCAGAGGCGGACCAGGGGTTTTGCACCAACATGACAACTTACAGTACTTTCACAAAGTTCATGATTTTGCGTCTTTAATTTGGAATTTGCGAAATTTTGCGATACTGTCAATTAATTTATTTTCTTACCAAGATTTAAGACTTTAGAGTCTGAGATACTGGGACTACAGTTCCCCTTTAACAAGAACTAGATCCAAGAAGCCCTGTTTTACAGTAACCGTAACTATCTTGCACAGTGTCCTCGACCTTAAGATAACAGGAGACAGCTTGCAGACCCAATCAGATGGGACAAAGGTGTTAGCAATATTCTGGTCTTGGAGGGTTTCAAAACCACAGTAGTAACAAATTCCAAAAGGTCAAATATTCCTTTCTATACAGGTGAAGAGTTGCACATCTACACAACATAGAAACAGTGGTGTTATCAATGCCAAAACTCAATGCCTGAGAAAGTGTATATGTGTATGGCCCTGTGCACACACAAAGGTATCTGGTAATGCTTCAGGCGTTGGGTTGTGTCACAACAGGGATGTGAATCTGAATGCCTGAAGCTGTACCATATACTTCTCCACAACAAGATTGTTTTAGTCCTTTTAGGCTAGCTGCAAGTGGATTTCACAACTTCGCTTACTCCTTTCTCAACGTGCTAGAACATCTCATTTCTTTGAGCTACTTCCAGCCCTTTACTCCATCACCCAATAGTCTGAAACTCAATTGGAGAACTACAATTCTTTAGTGCAGACTGGATTCAAAACGTGAAAAGGGAACGCGAGTACTGATGTTAATTGCAACCCATACAGTGGGCGTTTGTGAATACAATGAAACACGGATGCAGTCAGGCATTGCAATACACAGATGACAACTCCTGCCATTTCTTTTAATGAACGTTTGCACTAGATGTAAATGTTTAAAATCATTTTTAATATTTATTGGTTCTATAAGTAGCAAGAGTGTGTGATGGCATTATTAGCCAAGCTCTCTCGATACAAAATCTGACCGTGTTCAAAACCAATTAAAAAAACTGAATCAAAGGCCAAACATTTTCAATTAAGACTCAAGGGTTATAAATGCAATGGTTTTCTTTGATTGTTCACCTTTATTATTTTTGTTCTGATAAAGAAAACAAGATATAAATATACAAATGTACAGCTATTCAGAGCAAAATGGAGGAGAATAACATCCCAGTGTTTAAATGAAAAAGAGCACTAAATTGCTCTATAATGATCATTTTAATCCCCAAAAAGAAGGCAACAGATTTAGGGCATTTAATTGATAATTATGCATTTCTAACAGTATAGCTTAATAAATCACTGGAATTCTTACATCCTTCTGAAGTATTAACAGAACTTTTATATTGTACCTTCTTATATTGCTCTTATGTACAGATAAAAATACAGGTCACCACTCAATTTTCCTTCCTCCGCATTTTAAGCAACACTATAAAATAAACGTCTGCTTCCACTCCTTTGATTAGCCTTTCAAAAACAAACATGGCACACCTGAATGCTATTTACACTATGTAGTGATATACCAAGACTTGTCTTCAAGACCAAATCTTTTAACAACCAGGTAAACCAATGTTTTAATCCATGGAGGTTACTAATTACATTTTATAATTCATGAAGCTTGAGATGCATGTTGGATTTAATGACATTTAATTTATAAAAACAGATTCATATATAGACAATCCCATTAACTGCTGTCATTCATGATTTTGCCTGGAAGTTTTTGAAAAGGCCCTTCATTTTCTTCTGGAGACTACAGAAATGCTAAAGTTCTCTAGTTACAAAATAAATTAAAAGTCGATTGAAAAGATCTAGTAATATCTAAGTAATCAAAAGGTATAACACCCCAACTCCACCCCTATATTCAAAGACAGTACATTTTGCAGATTCTGAAAAATAGGATGCATGCAGATATATCTGTGGCAAACCTTTTCATCTCCCAAAAAGGAACATTAACTTTCACTTAACATGTAAAGAATCAACATACTTTGGAAAAAACACAAGACTACTTAATTGCAGTTCAGAACTTCACCGTTTGCTGCTTCTTTTTGTATAACTCCAAGAGCAGAATGTAACTTGGCTCCATTTGTAGCTGGAGTGGTAGAAAGAAGCAAAAAAAACAAAACAATTCATGACAGAACCTGGCACCAAATTCTGCTTTAACACATTTATTAAGGAGTAACAGAGTCCTCAGATGTGGAGTCTTACCTCACTTTTAAACTAGAGATCTCTAATTCCCTGCCATTTCATTATGTTCTATATAGTGTTGCCCAAAGAGTAAATTTTTTTTCACAAAAGGTAAGGAAAGGTCACACTTTTTTAGCATAATAACCTTTGCAATTAGTTGTACATCATTTGAACCTGTAATGCTGGTTAAAAGGTGCTGCACAAAATGCAAAAAACATTAAACACTGCTCTCCTTTGTCTACAACTGCACTTGTACTGCAAAAGCTCTTATCAGCATTAACAGAAAATTCGCTGTTCAGCAATGTAACTCATTCCTATGCTAGGACTGTGTATTTTTACCAGAAAGACTGAAGCACTGTGGAACCTCTAAAGTACCACTTCAAACCTCAGACACGGCTAAAGTACTGTAGAAGAATAGCCCAAGTATTAATTGTTCATTTCTTAGTAAAATATATCACTTTTAAACTAAGGAATCCTATTCTAAACAGAGACCTTCAAAACTAAAACCATGAAAAATTTTCCAATGTTGCCTTCACCTTAACAATACATGGCACAGTTCAGGACTTGTGAACTCCTTGTCCTTGTGTATTCCAACATTATTGATCATTAAAATCAAATTGCTCCAAGCACAGCAATCCCAAAATAGTCAAAGGAACACACCATCAGTCAGCATATTAAAAGTGTGTTCTGAGAAGTTTGAAATGTAAACCTTTAATTACTTACCTGCCTTCATCTTCCCTATTAGAAATTAATTATACCAACACTCTCAGTGTTCCACCTGAAACTATACTGCCTTGTTAGTATTATTACAATGTCTACCATTCCTGTCTTCTATTAACTTATCAGTACATTAAAATCAGGAGGCCACCAAACTTGTCTTGTACACTGCTACAGTATGTGCCATTAAATGAAGTCTGCCTTACAACGTTTCCAAAATCAAATCTTCCACTAGAATTTTCCTGAAAGGTTTGCCACAAAGAAAAGACACAAATAGGAAAGAAACTGTGGTATTTGAGGGTATTTTATCAAAAGCAAAGAAGTGTGATTTCAGTCCAATCTTAAGAATTGCCTTACTAGAATTAAAAGTAACTTCCACTTGGAATCCAGTGCCTAGTCTCCAATAAAGGGACAATGTGCAAGCTGACCAATGAATAATCAAGTCTATAATCCCCTTTCAAGAGTGGTAATAAAGCCCCACTTAAGGCTACAACATTAAATAATCTGACAATTTACATTCTGAAAATCTACAGTACACCTAGCCGAATCTTTTAAAAACTTTTCAGGATAAATGAATGAAATTTAATGGAGCTTAAGTCCACTAATGGGTTAATGGAATCCTATACTGAAGCTCATAAAATGTAGAACAAGGTTACTTTAATGACAGATGACAATTATTTTTCCTGCAGCACTCTTGTTACAAATAATGTCTTAACTTAGAAAATATGGACTTGAACTTTTGATTATCAATGTCTCTGATAAAGAGATTTCAGTAGAACACATGTGGAAATGCATTGCTAAATATTTTTAGAAAGGAAAAAATAAAAATCGGGGACCCACTGATGTGAACCAAACTATAACCAGTCCCCATAGACTGCAAAATTAATTAAAAAAAATGTAACCTTTCAACTATAGCTGTTAAACCAAATGCAACAGCCTCAAGGGGTCTTTCTGGAAAATACATCAGACCCCCACTTGGGAAGCACATCTGCAGCAGGATGAAAAAAACCAAAAATAATACTAATAATGAATTGATATCAACTGATGTCATCATCAATCGTCATAAGAGGAGAAAAGTTTACAGGCAAGTCAAAAACCCTGAACACGTCATTGTTCAAAGTCTTGTTGCAACCCAGCCAGCTATAACAGTCTATTCAGGTCTCTGCAATCATAGCCAGTCTTTCACAGCGTCTTGACGGGAGCTCTCCAAGGCGAGAAACAGTTTCCCCATCAGTCCCAGCGGAACAGAAGGAGAAGGAAGAAAGAGGCCAGGTCCTCACTGCTGCTCTGCCTGCTCAGCTGGGGGCCTCTGGGCAGCCAGAGGCCTGGGCACAGCCTGGTGCTGTCTCTGCCTGTACGCAATGACTGTGCCAAGGAGCAAGGCAATGATGGTCATGAGGTACAGGTCCCACTCCGGACCCAACAACTGGTCCAAATCAATCTGGGTCAGCAATTCCTTCACCTCGGAAAGAAAAATGAGAATAAGTGAATTCATAATAATAAGGTAAATCAAGCAGAGACATTTAAATATTGTCATTTAACAAAGTCTACTTTTAATTCTGGGAGCTTTTAAGGATTGTGGAGGTGTTCCTTTCTAATCCGGAAAAAACTAATTATCATACACAAAACAAAATTGCTTAGGGAAACCAAGAAATAGATGCTGTAACAGAAACACCTCTATGAAGTTACCCTTCCTTTGGTTTTCAACCACATGAAATGCTTCTTCATTCACAAATAACTTTTTTTTCCAGACAACAGTGCCACCTGGTGTCACCTTTGCAAGAACATTTCTCCTCTCATCTCACAGGCATGCTCTTTCAAATGACGAGAGAGGGTAATGTAGAATTGCACTTAGCCTTTCCTAAGATTTATAGGGCTGAATGAGTGCAACAAAACTGCAGGGCCCTATCGTATGGGCATTTCTGAGATTTATAGGTAAGTGTGCTTACATTCAGTTCTTGTAGGTACTGTAGAGAGTAGATCAGTCCTAGCTTACAGAGTGCCAGGAACACTGGCACCTGAGCATCGGGGCTGGCCTCGGCAGCCATGTCATAGAACCGCTTTGCCAGATGGATATCCTACAAACAAGGAGGAAAGTTAGAAAGTAACATCAATCTCATTCCTGGATTACAATCTGGACAATTCCCATGCATTTCAAAGTCACATACTAGTAGTGGTGATCTACAGGATAAACGCAAGGAAAAGATTTACGGGCGTACATGTCCGGCTCACCTGCTTGATCCCCAGCCCTTTCTCATGCATGTAGCCCAGGTTGAACATGGCCTGTGCACTGTGCTGTTGCTCTGAGGCCAGTCTGTAATGGATCACTGCTGTCTCATAGTCTACATCTGTGCCATAGCCGTAGAAGTGGTAATCACCCAGCTTGATTCTTGCCACTGTGTATCCTGGTACAATATGGCAGGAACAGAAAGTTCAGCTCAGTTTTTTAAATCTTTGAAAATTGAAATAATTTGTATTAAAATGTACTTAAAAACCAGCAGACACTTTCTATTAAATATTGAGATATAAAATGGTAAACTGTCTGTATAGATAAGAATTCTGTCTACGTCCAAGCTAAATACTCAGTAATTCAGCAAACAGGGAGACCTAAACTAATGATGATTATACATAGTGAAATTAAAATTTTCTACCAGGTTTAAAGGTGATTGAAAAGAAATGCAGTGTGACTGCATCTCACAAGATGATGTCGGAAGTGGTATAAAGTGTGAAGTGTTTGCGGTGTAGTGCACACACTCTCAGGACTGTAAACATGCCCAGAGAGTTCGTCATCTACTGTGTACCATTAATTATTTCAAATTATGTCACTACACTAAAACCATTTAACACAAATTCAATTCATTTTAAATTTCTACAATCCTAAGGAAAGTTAGAAAGCAAAAAGCCTGTTGATTTAATAGCCATGTGAAACTAAAAGTTTGCCTCAGCTTGTTCCGGACTTGTACAATTCTTTGCAGAAAGCATTTCCAATTCACCATCTTAAGCTATGTTTCACTGCCGAGTATTGTAAATTCTCTAGGTTAACCCTCTTTAAAACTGAAAGGATTTTAAATACTTGAATCAAATATTGGCTCCACCACCTTTGCTCTAGAATGAAGAGATTTAGTTACATTAACCTGTCTGTATATGGCAATTTCATAAGCAGGAATCATTGTTGTTGCTCTTCTTTGAACACTTTCTTACGCTATAATAACTCTTTATGTTTGCTTTAAGATGACTAAAACTCAACATAATACTGAGCACACAGAGTCCACTTTCTCCTGACATCTCCTCAGATACATGTCTGTAGACTACAAAAAATTGTGGTGAGATAATCACGACATCCAGGGTGGCTATCTCCAATATACTTGACAGCAGAAAATAGTTTCATGCAGATGTGTTTATAATAAACAGAACATTAGTTGAGTACAGCTCATTATACTGCGGGATGATAAGGCAAAATAAAACTTTTTATTTCATTTCTTTGTCAAAGCTAAAGTAAAATTAATCAATTCTAGCCATCGTTGCTTATTATTAAAAAATAAACTATAGGGGACTCCTATAAACTACAGGGCTTTAACTGAACCGTTAAAGGTGGGCACTCAAGCACTGGCTGAGTTCCACAACCACAGGTTTGAGCCTGGCGATGTCACTAGCCGACTGTGACTGGGATTCTCTAGGTGAAATTTCGTGAGCAACTGGATGGTTTCTGGGAAACATGGCCCTGGAGTGAGTGTGTGCGTGTCTGTGTATCCCCTGTAATGGACTGGTGTCCAGGATGTATTTTGCCCTGAACCCATAACTTGCTGGCAAAGGCTTCGACTTCCCCGCGACTCTGAATTGCATGAAACAGTTAGAAAAGGAAACGCTCCTTACTCAGTCTGTAGGCACTGTGAACTAGCTTCCCTGAACTAAAAAGCAGCACCAGCTATGAATAAGGGAGGTCAAATGAGCTCTTACCCTGAGCAGCAGCACGGTTCCAGTGTAGCAGAGCTCGAGGATACGTCTCGTTTTCACTGAAGATCTTTGCTTCTTCTGCTTAAAGCGCACAACAAAGAGAAAACAGACAATGCAAATTAGATAAGGCAATGAAACACTAGATGTTTCTTGAACTTTCGACATACAGAATAATTACATGTACATTATTTTATAATACAGTATATTCAGTGCAGAATATAGACGTCTTTGCTGCTGGAGTGCTAGAAGTAGTTAATACCTAAAGGTCTTGGACCTACAACTTAAACCTCACACATGAACACAAAAATTAAGCAATAGCGACGTTCTCCAATTCAGTAGTGTAACACATTTTACAGGCTGTAGAGAAAGTGATGTATGGATAAAATGAACTACAACTGCTACAAAAAATTAATGAGAGGCAATTCTTGCTGAAATGCCAGTTAATTGTACTATATGTACTACAACTCTACAAAAATATTCAGTGCCTTCAGAAAGTATTGCATGGTATTTGTTGTCGTTGATATTATTATAGAGTAATTTGTGTAGATCAAAGTGGAACAAAAGTTCTGTCAACTTTTTACAATCTGTTTAAAAGAAAATACTGGAAAGGTTTGATTTGACATGCATTCACCCTCTTTGCTATGAAACCTGAACAGAACTGACCACCTGTGGTCAGTTCAAAAGGTTGACAATATTTACAGTTTCAGAAGAAATACACCTGTCTCTACAAGGTCTAAAGTTCTCAGTTGACCGTGCACGTCAGAACAGAAACCCTACCATGTCCACACAGCTCCATTATAGAATTGCGATGAGGCATAAATGTGGGATGGAGTATAAAAATATTTGTATTAATTGAATATTTCCAGGAGCACAGTTAAGTTCATTTTTAGAAACTAGAAAGAATACAGACCCAACCAGACTCTTTCTTGAGCAGGCCCTTCTCCCAAACTGAGGAACCATGCAAGAAGGACCTCATTCAGAAAAGTTATCAAGAACCCCATGACCACCCTGACAGAACTACAGAGCTCCCTGACTGAGGACAACCTGTCGAGAGCACAGATTTAACCTCTATAGGGAAGAGTTGCTAGATGAAAGCCACTCCTAAGAAAGGGCCATACAATTACACAATAGCATCTGGCAAAAGATTCTCTGGTCCGATTAAACAAAATTCTTTGGCTTGAATACAAAGCACTGTCTGGCATAAACTGAACACAGTACATCACCCATGTAACTCCTATGTAATCTCTAACATGAAGCATGGTGGTGGTAACATCATTGTAATGGATATGTTTTTTAGCAGCAGTGACTGGGGAACATTTCAGGATAGGGGAACCATAAATAGAGCTAAAATACAGGCAGGCCTGACTTGACAACTGATAAAAACCATACCCAAGAAGATACAAAGCTGTATCTGCTACAAAAATGCTTCCACAGAATATTGACTTAGAGGGGTGAATACTTAAGTAATTTAGTTATTTCCATTTGTCAAATTTTGTGTTTTACAAAAATATCTTTCCTCCTTTAAATTGGTATGTATGTTAGTGGAATCAAGGGGAAAATGCACTAAATATTCAGGACGTAAGAACATTTGTAATTGTTCAGGGAGGATGAATACCTTCTGAAAGCTTTGTATAAATATACTACAGTGCATTTGAGTGCAGGTATTAGATTATGATTTGCTACAAATATTACCATTTTACTGATTCTGCACTTCAATAAGTTAAAATTCTAACATAAGACCCTATGTTAGCTTCTGCTTTATTGATATTCAAATGAATCTCGCAGTATGAACAAATGAAACCATTATCTTATAAATGACTAAACAAATACAAAAAAAAAATAAGACCAGAATAATAGAATGTGTCTATTTCACTCAGATCTTGCTGCTAACTGCAGATTGTTGTAAGGGCTTACTCTGATCCAGGATGAAGGCCACGTTGCTCTGTGCCACTTCATAGCCCTGCTCTGCCAGCATAAGATACTGCACCACAGCCGAGTCAGAGTCTCCTTCCTTAAAGCTGCTGTAGGCGTTCATCAGCCTCTCTGACCAACGGCCTCGCTCGCACACATTCTTAAAAAGCTGTTTCGTAGAAAGAGCAATCACAATAGTTTGTTACAAAGCAATTAAACATTATTTCAAATGCCAAAGTGATCACATTCAAATGCCAAAAAGATCATATTCCCTTTACATCTTTAACAAAAACCGATGATTTAGGAGTTGCTAATATTGGCCGTCGAGGACTTTCTATATTTGAGTAAGGCTCAGTCATTCTCTACTCAAAACCAAACAAGAAACTTTTTTTAGTGCGTCTCTGTAGGACATTCATTTAAGGCCAGGAATATATGAATGAATGGATGCAAATATGAATCCCTCATCTTTGGACTGAGACTGAAGTTAAAGGGTATCTGCAACTACTTTTGTATTTTGGGGTTAAAAAGAACCAGCACTGATGCTTGGATTTCAAACCACAATGAAAGAAAAATATACACAGAAATGTAAATTGAAGGTTTAACACATCACAAAATAGATGACATTTCCAGGTATGTACAGTACAGCGCAAAATTCTGTGATTCTGCGATCCAACAGAAATATTGCTCTCAACTTTAAGACAGTTAAGCAGACAAATACTTCTTTATTGTTAAAACAGCACGCAGATCACGATGGAACATTGCTGCAATAAAACGTCTGCTGCACAACCTGTACTTATTTGCACGTACATCGTCTTACATTGGTCATTAGTGACTAGTGAGCAGGAAGGGCCGCTTCACATCGCAATTCATTCGAACTTTTGCTCTTGTTCATGGAGAGACCAGGGATTTTCAACAATATGGCAACTGTCCAGTACTTTCATAGAGTTCATGATTTTGTGCTTAAATTGGAATTAGTACAATTTTGCAATAATGTCAATTAATTTGTTACCAAGATGTAATAGCCAGTCCGAGAAATTGGCACCGCAGATCCCCTTTAACACAATCTAAAATCGTCTATCCACCATAATGTCCATTGGTTTTAGATCTTCACACAATTGCACCACGGCGCCTCTTGCTGCAGAGGAAAGAGAGTACATGGTCTCTCACCTCCACTGCTGTGTGACAGGACCTCATCACTCCTGTGCCAGTGGCATGCATCTGTGCCAGGTTGTAGAATGCCAGGATATGCCCAGCCTGTGACGCCAGGTTAAAATACTTCAGAGCCTGTTTGTAGTCTCTCTTTACACCAATGCCATCTAAGAAAAGAAAAATCCTCCACTTTAGTTCAAATTCAATAATCACAAGATGAAGAGGCCGTAGATAATAAAACATGTTTGACACATGCGGGCTTCGAAATCTCTGTACAACCCCAGCGCTTGCTTGTTTTCAGAAAGAAAAGTAGCAGAGTGTGTGTGGGTGTTCAGAACATACCAGGAACATTGTGAACATCCTGGTCAAGCAACATTTAATTAAAGCAATTTTGATTCACACTAAAAGCTACACAATTACTGAAAGAAAAAACAATAAACATAAGGCCAGACCACCTATTACTTACTGTAGTACATGGTCCCTAACTGAAGCTGTCCATCCACCCAGCCTTGTTCAGCAGCCTTCTGAAAATACTTCAATGCTAGGTCATAGTTCTGGGTAAAAAAAAAGGTTAAATCATTCTTATGAGGAATATATGAAATTGCATCAATTGACAAAACCTTACCAACAATAAGAAAAAACTTCCTCTAGCTCGTAATAATGCTCATTGTAGAATTCCATTATCATCATTATGGACGGCAACATACCACAGGAACTCCTCTTCCATACAAGTAGGCCATTCCCAGGCCACTTTGCCCAACTGGATTACCCTGTGAGAACACAGAAATGAACAAAAATCAATACTGCTCCGGCCAGTTAAAAATTGTTTTGTTAAAAATAAATGTTACAAAAGAAAGAGCAGAAAGTACATCTCGTAGAAATCTGGGAATCTCCCATACATGCATAACTATAATTTATAAACTCATGATGTTAAGATCAGTATTTTCATATTAATGTATTTAAAACCCGAACGCTCAAATGGAAGACTAAGGGTCAGTTACAGTAAATGTCAGCAAAAACTAAAGAGAAAACTTCAGTGTTGATTGCATAAGTATTCAAACCCATAAACTCAACATTTGTTGACAGCTCTGGACTGAGGGGACCTTACAGATTCAGGTGTATTTGTTCTGGAACCATGTGAATCACACTACTGCACACAGAGAGCGACCACTCAACTAACTGTGTGCCTCGTTAAGATGATCTTGTCCACCTAAATTTAGGTTTGTGCAAGCAAAGGGTTTCAATACTTTTGAATGAAAAATGAGAAAGTCAGAATTGCATATTAATTATCTATTTAATTCTTTTATTTAGGAATAGGTTGTGCACAGTGCACATAATACATATCTGTTGCTATTTCAAAGTGCCATAACAGCAATCTTTAAAAGTAACAAAATGT